TAGACAAAGTCAAAGTGCTTGGCCCACTCGGGGTCTGTGATCGACTGCGTCTTGTAGTCGATGATGCGGTCGGCGCCGAGCGAGAGCACGAGCTCTTCGTTGGCCTTGGAGCAGACACCGACAATCTCACGCGCGCCGAGACCCTTGGCGAGCTGGATCGCGGCCGTGCCGCAGCCGCCGCTCGCACCGAGGATGAGGAGCGACTGGCCTGCCTTGAAGCCATGGTTGACAAGCGCCTGGTAGCCGGTAATGTAGGTCGTTGGCAAGGCGGCACCTTCAACAAAGCTGAGCGACGCCGGAAGGAGCGTCAGCTTCGAGGCTTGGCAGAGCGCGTGTTCTGCCAGCGACCCGTTCGTGCTGCCAAAGACATGGTCACCAACCGAAAGCGTCGTGACATCGGGGCTCACGGCAGTCACAACGCCAGCGACGTCGAGGCCGACGCCCTTGCCTTGCATGAAAAGTGCGGGCAGCTTGTAATCTATCATGGTCAGATAGAGTTTTGAGCGTGCCGGGCGAGTACGCAAGGCTGAGACGTACCGACGGGGTTGATGCCCGCGGCCTTGACCTGCACGACGACACTGTCCTTGGTGCCGACCGTCGGCTTCTTCGCTTCGGGGTTGAACCAACGGCCGTTGGACGTAAAGAAGCTGTAGAGCACGGCGCGCATGTTGGAATGTGAGAGCAGACAAGGGCCGATGGCATTCTCCGGGTTATGGTATCCGGAAGAAACGCCTTATATACAAATCCCAAGTGCAAAGTGCACTTTCTGGATCGCAAAATTGCGTTGGATTAGCCAGCAGTGCGCGGGATGACTTGATCATGTCGGTGGACTAATCGCCGCGCCGTTGGTCCTGGGACGGGGGTTGGCCACAGAATACGCCCGCCTTATTACGTCAACATGTCAACGGACGAATCGGCGGCGCACAAGGCGCGCTGTCAGCAACGATGCTGGTTTGGCCACCGTGGTTGGGAGCATGGACGACGCAGCTCAGCAAGCCCAGGCGTCGAAGCCCTCGAGCTGCGACGACGGTAAGATCCAATTCATTAATTGGCTCTGCGAAGTGCTGCCAACCGCGGCTAAAGAGGCCTCTGAACACGGGGCCAGGGGGCGAGTGGGAACTCATTGTGGTGCCCCAGCATGCATGCAGCCAGCGTTGCAAATGCTTAGCGTTAAAAGTCCCCCGATAACGTTATTAGCAGAGGCTTCTCGAGCTGAGGATATGAGCTATGCATTTGACGTAACAAGCTACTGTGGCATCTTCGTTCCGTCATTTCAGGGGACTAGCGCACAGCGATGTAGCAACGCATGAAACCACCAACGCAAGAAAACACACTCCACGCGATATGGGTCGCGAACCACCGACCGAGCGTCCGTAAAATGATGCTTTCATAGGTCGTCAAAGGTCTTCGCTATTAGTATTGACATCGAAAGCATGCTCAATCAAATCGCTTTGCGCGATTCCTCAGGAATATGTAGCCGAGACAAAGCCGAAGACGCCACAGCGTTCGACTAACAACATAATCAGGGCCATATTGCATTCACAAGGACCAAGTATTGTAGTTCCACAATCTCCCTACCAGTTGCTTGTACACGCACACGCCCATTCGCTCCTCCTGCTCGCGTGTCATTTCACGACATGTTGTCTCCGGTCATCAGCATTCGTGACCTCGACGATTCCAATAACATGACTCATAATAGATAAGTTGATTTGATTTGACTTCAGACGACAACGCTAAAGTCGAGTGACTCGAGTGTCGACAGCCACGTCATGTCGCTGCCGTCCAGCAGGTCCGCGCATACCGCCCAGTCAGTTGCGTCCACGCTCATGTCCTCGTCCTCGTGCTTGTTCGCATCCGACCCAAAGAGGTCCTCGAGGAGGTCGAGCGACGGCAGCTCCATCACCAAGAGACTCTCGACCTTCATCATTGGCGACATGGACGGCGACGATGACCGCGACGACGCCGGAGAGCCCTCGCGCTTGCGGGCGATCGGCGTCGTCTCGAGCGTCGAGCTGCGGTTGAACTCGGGGTGGCTGAACGTGCACACGTGCGACTGCGTCTTGGTCCACTTGCGGAAACCAAAGTAGTTGAGCTGGCGCTGGAAGCTCGCGAGTTTGTTGTGTTTAAAGTACTTGGGGAGGACCTCGTTC